GATTACCATCCCAACCATTGAAATCTTATATTAACATTTTAGTTTCAAAAACTATATAGTAGCACCTAACACATAATACGCTGGCTGACAGCCTTTATAAATATAATTATTTTATTCTGATAACAGAACCATCAAGTGGTGGCCCATCATTTCATTCCTTATGGATCTGTCCCTACCATGGCTCCATGAGCATTCTTACAACCAGTTAATCTCGTTGGCTTTTTTTAAGACATAACGTACCTAATTTCTTATTGATGTTAATTTAAGACATAACGTACCATGGCTCCATGAAGTTGTTCCCTTTGATGTGAACAAAAATGAGTTGATTTCTTTGAAAAAAGGCATGGGATTTTGTGTTTCACTTTTTTGCTTTGTTTGGATTGTTTAATTCTAATGATATGAAGCATGTGCAAAAGTCAAATCTTGTGACTTTGAACCCTTTTCTTGAACCCCAAGAATGTATAAGATTTGGTTTTCAATTATTATGTTGCTGTGGCACCAAACATGGGATACCATTATCTCCATAATGTATCTTCAAATTCTTTGACTTCTATTTTTATAATTTGTATTTTTAACAATAAAAGGGATAATATAAAGATAAAAAAATGGATTTTAAAATAATAAATATGTTATTATAAGTTTATTTGTTTAAATAATGTAAAATCAGTAATATATGAAACTGGAATAATGAAAATGATTGAATTTACTTCGGCTCTGACAACTATTTTTCTACCAAACCTTGGATTATAAAAAAATATGTAACAAGAAAATGTATATCAATATTTATTGGGATTGTTTGAACGCTTGAATATTGTTTAATAGGTATAACACTTCTTGATTCAAGTGCAAAACTTGTGAATTATCATAAAAATGTCAATATATTTATGGTGAACTTTTACAAATGTGTTAGTTGTCAATAAAACGTATAATAGTTACTTTTAAAAAGTTATTAAGTAAATAATTAAAATGCATAATTTAAAACATAAAATATATAAATAATGTTTGTTAAAGTTCAATGACTTAAGTTTTATCGAAAATAAAATGATAAATTGCATGAAAAAGTAATGTAATTTAACTTGATTCCTATTTTGGGTAACGTACTTTCAAAACTTCCATTTTGATACCTAAGATATAAAGTTTTAAACATTTAAGTACTCGAGTAACCGGTTGAAGCATTAAACGGTTATCATGCTGATGTGGCGAGTGATGTCATATCAAACTCAGTATTACTTACTGACGTGGATAGTGACATGGATTTTTTTTAATCTAAAATTAGTCTTCAACTGGTTACCTAGATACTTAATGTTTAAAACTTTTTTTTATTAACCTGGATATCCAACCCGCTATGCGTGCCGACTAATTCCAAGGCGACTATCTGCTTTGCAGATAGTCCGAAGTCCTCGTATTTGAACCTCCGTGTCCACAAGGGGATTTTTATTCCTCCTTGGATTTAAATCTGGGACCTCCTGGTACTTTTGATCTTTGGAATCAGGCTTAAACCAATCAGACACCACCCTTGTGGTTTAATGTTTAAAACTTTACATCTTAGATACCAAAATGAAAGTTTTAAAAATATATTATCTATTATAGGAATTAAGTTAAAGTACGTTATTTTTTATATAATTTTCCTAAATAAAAATCCTATATAGACTTTACTGTATATTAATAATTTAATATGGGTTAAATGCATAAAATAACAACCCACTTTTATAAAATTTCTTATTATAGCATTCTACTTTTGTTTTTCTTTATTATAGCAATGTACTTTCAAATTGTTTTTTTATTAAGGCATTGTACTTTAAAAAATCTACTCATAACAGCAATGGATAACCTGTTACCTTTTAAACCGGTTAACCCTTTGACTTTTTTGCTTCTGTGGCTTTAATGAGGTGATGTGGATGACACATTATTTTAATGACTTAACTAGAATTAAAATAAAAACATATTTCAAATTATTATTAGTGATTTTCATTTTTCATTGCTATGATCTAAAAAAACGTTTAATTTTTTTTTACTTTTTCTTATTAAGTTGCATGCAAATTAAATATTCTTAGAGTAAAATATTTATTAAATAAATATGAAACATTATTTTCGAGGTATATTTTATTTGTTAAAAAAAGTAACTTTTCCTATTTTATGTTGTTCAAATAAATACATATTTTTTAAAGTTTTTTTAAAAT